CCAACATGTTAGATTAAACTCATCAGCACAAAACAAGACGTACGAGATTACACAGCCCCAGTCATGCTTTTCATTGGTTTGTTAAACCCTAATGACCCTAGACTGAGAGGTGGCTTCGTAAACTGATTTACACGCTTACAGGCTTATATCTCTCTTATATCTAAACCATATTTGCTTGGTTGCCAGATCCTGACATTAGGCTTTTTGGATTACTTTCAAGTTCAACCGGTATTGTGTATTGACTTTGACGCACACACACACACACACACACAGGAAAAGTATGAAAGATAATTAGCCAAACCATCCTATATCTATTTATGCCTATTTATTTTCGTTTTTAGTTATTAGTATATATAAAAGGTATGATATGGCCGGATAGTCTTCTTGGCCTAGTGTTAAAGTGACGAGATAGGGCGTCTCGTGGACTACGTCAACATAAACGTCGTATCAAAGCCAAACGGCTGCGGAACATCTGAAATCATCCTCCATATTCAGATGGCATCAACCAAAGAATCTCCTCATCATGCACTTTCATTGGATGTGAAAGTCTCCACAACAATTTTATTTTCATCAGTTCACTCACTTCAGATCAATTTGTTATACTTTCATATTACTAGTCTTCTAACATTTTTGTCATCTTTTTTATTTTTTTTTATTTTAACTCTCTTTTTTGTCGCTTTCTCATTTCAATATTATTTTTTTCCTCTGTTTGTAATTCTTATATATTTACCTTTATTTTGATAGTCTAATTTTTATTTATTTATTTCTTCTTTTTTCTCAATACTTAATCTAGTCTACATTCCTTCTTTCTATTAGTCTACAAATTAGCTATTTTCTATTATCCCATTCACTTTTTCAATCTATATATTGTTTCATTTCTCTTAACAACCATTCTACTTGATGCTTTAACTCATGTCTACCATTTCCCCGCCCCAATCCATCCCTGTCATTAATAGGTAATCTTCTCTGCTTCAACTGACCCCCTGGGTTCACTCTGTCTCGTTGGCCTGCGCAATGCCAATCAGACTCAGCGTCCTCTCACTACCCCACTCGCATCCCCCGTACATCATGCCCCTTTATCTTCTACAGCTGGGGCGGCAGTAATCAATCGCTCCTCCATTCATTTGACAGCAATGGCCACCCCTCAACCACTTAATCCGCCGTCAATAGTAGGCACTAATGGCACTACGAGCTGTACAACCAATCAATTGCCGTCATCTTCACCCCCCCGGACCTCGGTTCACCCTTCCCCTGCCATCAACAGCGGTCCCTCAACAGGTGGGCTATCTAATTTTGTTTAGTCCTATCAAACTTTTTTTTCATTCTCTTTCTAATCTCTTTTCTCTTACTTTTCATATCTTTGATTATATATATTCATTTTACTGATTTCAGTTTTCCTTTGTCGGCTGCCTTTAGCACTTCGTTTCCTGTGTTTTCCTGACTTCCCTTTCCCCTCATCCTCATGTAATGACCCTCACGAATAAACATTTTTCTGATTTACTCCCTTTGCTTATCTTTCTCATCATTCTCTCGTTTGACCCATAATCCCTCTTTAGCATCCTCAATATTATCACCATCTCTCCAACAAGATATGCTCATAACGAGGGCCAGGACGCATAAAACGATTCATGGATTTATATTGGAGTTTTTTCTACCATGAATTGAATTTTACTTGGCTCTGTCTCCCAAAAGGTTTCCTAATCAACGTGTACTGCTATTGCGACCTCGCCTACGTCCTCTCCTATCCGAATTCGAGCCGAGTCTTGAGTATCGTGGCGACACATTACAACTCCGCCAAATAGCCTCGGGAATTGTGTGGACAATTGCACTATCCCTTCCCAAATGACCTAAATGACATTCTAGAGGGACTAGGTTTTTGTTTAAGAATTGCTGATAGTTTCGAAAATTACTCAAATCGAATATGAGTAGAGTGGTCGAATGTAATAGCAAATGCATGTTTGCCTCGCCGACGATCCCACTGTAAATGGGATTTGTAAGGGCTCTGGCTCGTCTTTAAAGTGGCATCTGCCCGAAGATCAACTGGCAGTCGTGGCTGAGTAGCGGAGTGCTGTGCTTATTTCTTCCTGTGGATGCCTTTCTGTCTTTTTATTGCTATCCAACTCAACATTTTTTCCTTTTTTTGTCTGTTTACCCAGGCCATTCTTTTTCTGCAAGTCGGCCCTCTTACGTTAATCTCGCCTCTCCTGGAACTATCCCCTTTACATCTGGCGCTTTTGTTGCCAATACCTCCTCTCTGCTATCTGCCGCCCCAGGGCCTACTATTACAATGGCCCCCGGTGGTACTGTCTCGTCGGCCGGTCGACTGGGCTTGACGGAGAAGGATGTGCAAATTCTCTCGCAGTTACGCCTTGAGGCTTGCGGCTTTCTATACCGATTGCTCAGAGCCAGTTTCGAGTCGTATGGCCTGGCTGGCTTTCATCGTGTTCACTTACAGGTGAGCATAATTATTTTGCGGATTCCATAGCCTAACAGTGGGTTGGCCTCGTTTTCGCGACTTTGTCTTGTTGTCAGGGCGGCTTAGTTTGACGTACCTTGTCCGAAGTCCTCTGTTATGATAATCATCACAATTTCCAGCGTCAGACTGTAGACTTGGCACATTCTCAGACGCTTTGCCTGCATCGTAGTCGACATCCTCAGTGAGTCTTCCCCATTCTCAGCACCAAGCTACAACTCATTAAAGAGACAAGGGAATTCAATCCCTTGACCAAATTTGCTGCCAAAACGGTTGTGCTATCAATCCTCTTTCTTTCCTGACCCATCTATCTACTCTTTATCCTCTTATCCCACTTATCTTTGACAAGTCGTAGCTTGGTGCTGAGGTTGACATGACTCACTGGTGATGCCGACGAAACGTCTAAGAATGTACCAAGTCGATGGTCTGACGCTGAGAAGTATGATCGCTGCTATGGCGGAGGACTTCGGACAAGGTGTGTCCAACTAAGTCGCCCTGACAGCAAGACCAAGTTACGTAAACCTTACACCATTTTGTTCTTCATATCTTCTATATCTCAACGTTTATTGGTTTTAAGGGTATTTAAAGTTGAGTTTATAACTAATTAGATGTTAATTTAGGGTTTGTATATTATTGTCGTTTGCTCAACTTTATATTTTTTTAGATAAACCGATCGTGATGTCGGTGGCAAAGAGAATAAGAGGTAGCATCGAAATATAAGAATCGAATGGTATCGAATATAATGATAGTTTCGTCTTTACCGAATAGCACTTACAAGAAACTCCTAGGCATGCGAAGAATATCACTTCACTCATGTTCTTCTCTTGTTTTTGCTTATAAATTGAGAAATGGAGTAGTTAAATTAGACTTATTTTAAAAATCGCACATATTATTATTTTAATTGTTATGCAAATCTGTGAGGTGACTTCGATTACATAACATTCACTCTTTCCCAAAGACAATAACTCCTTTTTTCTCATACTTTTTAGAGCATACTTGTCCAATTAATTTCTACTATTGACCTCAGGACAACCCTAGAACCGTTTTGTTGAAAGGATTTAGGCTGGCCCTCAAGATGATAATATATTGAGTCCGTCACGTTTTTGTATACTTTTTTGTTGCCTCATCAGATGATCATCTCTGTGTCTCGACTCGTCTCGGAGATAGGGCCTGAATTCGAAGCCTCGCTTAGTCTTCTGCACAGTCTGGCACAAGCAGATGTAAGACGGACGAGCTTGACGAATGGGGAGTATAGTGAAAGCAAAGAGAACAGTTCCAGGACTTTCTTCCAGGACGCGGATTCGTGTTCCACTCTGCCTGCTCGTTCTTCAGCATCTCAGGTATACGGACCACTTTTAATGTAACTTTAGATCTGTTTATTTAATTGCGAATATATACGTTAGTTGGAATTAACAAAAAGTATTTATAGTGAACATTTTACTGACCAATTTGTATTCCTTGCTAATTACCCAGTCGGCCATGTCTCAACTACAGAGGTATTTTTAAAATTGGACCTATCTGAGAAACCTTATTATTTAAAGACATAGAAACTAAATGTGTATATAGGCCAGATTTTTTTTCTAGCTAGTTGGCATACTCTTAATTCATACCCGATTTGTTCCGATATTTTGTAATGATCATGCGCACTTGGTTGTTGCCTCGAAGTTTTCTAGAGCGCTTCCCTTAAATGACCACCTTTTCAGGCGTACCAAACGGTTTCGCCTGTGTGTTTTCTCTTTTCTTTCTAGTTATTTCCTTACTTATTCCAGTGCATTCATGTCTTTCTTCTCTTACATTTTCAGGTTTTCCTGGAGGAAACCGATGACCTGCTGCGTCGAGTTCGCACAGTGCTCTTGTCCACGGCTGAGATGCGCCAGCATCAGGACGATCCAGAGCGTTTGGTCGACCTGCATTATTCGCTTGCTAGGTCCTATGCCAGCAATCCCGCTCTCAGACGGTATGTTCCATTTTGAGGTGATGCGGCTTATCTTTTGAAACTAGATTATAAGACAAGTAGACGCATTTATGTATACATCTGTTTATTATCATAACATGTGTAATATTCGCTTGTAAGATGGCTTGGAGGAATATATATATATATATATATATATGCTAATTAGCTCAGGTGAATATATTTTTCTATTGATTCCGTATAGCTGTATCACTTCGTTTGTTTAACTGGGGTCTAATTCTTAAGTTGATGTGAAAATATTAGGAAAAGCGCCTTCATTGCAATCCTGTTGTCATGGTCGTTAGTCCCTTAAGTAAACATTCATTACGCTTAAAAGTTACCTCATCTGCTTATTCCTTACTTTATTCGTAAATTCATTTTCCTACAAACACATTCTTGGGAAACTACTGGTCGCTGCATATTCGGGCGCATGATTCTAATAGAACTTGGCTAGAAGAGATCGCAAAACTGCATCTGTCCTACAAAAGTATGGGTGAAGTAGCCATGGCCAATCTACACATCGCTGCTTTGATGTCTGAATATCTCAAGAGGAAGGGTAAGATGCAAAAATGTCTGCATATGATCGCTTTTGCTCCTTACTGTTTATATTAATGTTTTTTGGCTACATATATACTTTTAGAATTATTATATTATCCTTCTATGCTAAAAATACTGTTATGGGAAGAAATATTTATCAAATACAGTTTTTACCTTTGCATCAGGCAACCTTGAATTCTTGATCATCATTTGATGATTAATAGTGGGAAGGTTTTTCCGCTACTAGAAGATACTTCTTTTGCATTTTGCTATCCTTGATTAGTTCTTTGCGCAAAGCGCATACGTTTCTCGGCACGTTTTGATCTCGAAATACTGTGGAACGATTAGCAAAGATGACTAATTATTAGCCTACATGGTCAGCTTTTCTGACATTTAGATGGCTTTCATTTGAAAGCAACCTATGCACAAGGAGTCTATTTTCTGAGAGCTTCGCATGAGTATTGTCCTTCCAGTCTATTATATAATTTATACAGTTTTCTGTCTACTTTAGTACTATCTGAACTCGCGATTTTTATATTCACTTTTTCCTTTCAGGGACTCTTGCGCGTGAGTTAAATGTTTGCACTTTTTGTGTTTTTCTTTCTGTTGCTCTATCATCCAGCCAACTTTATCTTCTATTACTTAATTCTGTCTTCATTCCTCGTATATAAGCAGAGTTTCGAGACTGTCAGTAAATCAGTAATATGAAATCTATTCATCATATTTCGCTTAAGGTGATGAATGACTGGTAGTAGAATTTTCCCACAATGGTATGAGTAGAGGCGACGTTTCCATTGAATTTCGCATAGCCTTGCTTTCCCAAAAGTTGTTCACATCCAGACTGAAGTGGACTGCAGTTTTAACCTCGTCTCGGTCTTATCAACACACCCAGCGGGAGTCGAACCATGACAGGGCAGCATGTGAGTTTGACACCTTAACGACTCGGCAACATTGCCACGAGTGTCCTTGGGTCACAGGGCAGATGTGAATTTCAAGGAAGGCCAGGCCTTATCCCATATCACAATGATTCCAAAACTGTGTGCCGCGGCGCCCCGGGGAGCCGCGGCCTCTTTACACTTATTTTTCTTCATAATTAATTGAACCTAGACATTTGGCCTGAATAAACAAAAACGTGAGGGAAAACGCTGCGTCTTCTCGATCGCGCCATATGATCGTACTAGGCACGTCGCGGTGCGTAGAACCTTCGTGACAGATTTGGAATGTTCTGGAATATCTTGCGGAAAGTATATAAGCAAACGTTGCCGGCTCGATTCAGTCAATCGACTTATAATATGAGTTTAGTGAAGTTAAACTTAGCGCTTCATGTATGCATAAAGAGTGACATAAATTAGTAAATGAGTTCATATTGTAATTTAGTTAGTGTTATATTACTTCTTGTTTGTTGTCTTTTATGAATAATTTTGTGATTGTTGGCTCTTGTATCTTTGATAATGGACCGATTTTTGAACAATTATAAGCGTAAAAGTGCAGATAAAGAAAGTATGCCTTTAACTAATGGCACTAAAGTGAAGAAACGAAAATATCGTAAATATGATGACAGTTATTTAGAGTTTGGTTTTACGTCAACAAAAATT